CAGGTGAATACAGTTTAATGCAAGGTTGAAAGAAAGGTCTATCATTCTGAGAGTCAGACAGTACAATCCATTTTTTAAGGAACTTACAATGCTACCCTACAGAACTAAGGAAAACTAATTCCCAGCATTTATGTAACAGTCAATCATTCAGAGCCATAGTAAGGATTCTATTAGACAAGCACTGAATAATCTCAGTGTTGCACTGCAGAAACTAGTAGAAGCTACCCTGCTCCATAAGGCTAAACACAAAATAAGCCAACCAGGACATTTGTGATCAAGTTCTTTCCTCCTTTTTCTCAGCCTCGCTGCATAAAAAAGTAATTCAACAATGTTAGCCTAAAGATTAGTCTCCGAACAGTAAGAAAGCTCATTAGCCCATTGAGTCAATTCATCACCTGGAAGGCCCGCTGTCAGAACGTGGTCAGCAGCATTGCTAGGATGGACTTGTCCATCCTGACCAAGATCAGATAAGCAAGTGAGCCAGTGCAGAAGGAATTTCAATCTTTGTGTATGGACTGTCTGGGTATTAATTAATCCATGTGGGCTCAACTGAGGAAGTTATACTGCGATAGATGTTACCTTAAAAATACCAGAGGTACTAGGCCCTAGATAGCTAATAATTACATGAACTTAAGTGAAGCAAAGGCCTACAAATTGGAACTATTTTAACTGTTAAATTACTGAGAAACATTATTGCTTAAAACTGCAAAATAACATCCTTAAGAGCAAAATGTTTTTAGCCCAGATAACAAAAGATTTACCCTGGATTCCCATGGTAACATACAGACAAAGCAAATCCAGTAGGACATTAAATACAACATCCACAGATTTGGATACACTACTCACTTGAATCGGTGGAACTTAAACACATGGAAAAAAATAATTAGCTAAGAAAACATGTCAGAAGCTAATCATTAAGAGTACATGAGGCATTAGACATGTTTATTGGTTAATAAACTGGCAGGTAAAGGAAGCAATTTTAGATATAAAATGCGCCATCTCTGGGCCCAACTGCACAGCTGGGATGCAGCTATCCATCCCTACACTTGTTACTTACAATACTGACCCAAATAAGACAGGTTTGTCTGATAATCCTACAACATAGCCACTACCTGGTATGTTTCAGCCAATTGAATTTGGTCCCCAAAGAGTCAGGATTAGAATGACTCAGTTAATCCTGATCAGTGGATGAGCAAATGCATTCTTAATTACCATTAGAGGGACAAGGTTGGTTGTGTTTAAGTATTCTCCCTTATATTAAGAGCATCCTGTAAGCCTCAGTGTTGCTTCACACTGTAATTATCTCATTCTATTGACACTGAAAGTCAGTCTTGTACATTCTCTTCCTTCCCTCTCCACACTGCTCATTCCTTGCATCAGATTAAGCCACTGTGCTGCCACAGTAAGTCCCGAGCTAGCTCATGGGGACAGGGGAGGACAGAACACAGAGGAAATTCCCCCATCATATCATCAAGCTTATCGAAGATCACTCTGCAGCCACAGACAATCACTGCATCTGAGGCATGGGAAAGGCAGCAGGAACACATCAGTCAGGTCGGAGAACAGCAGAACTGCCCTTCCTGGAAGCAACCCACAGCCTGAATGTATTAAGATACATGTACCTCCCAAACCAGTCTCTGAGAAAAGTAGACAACACTGGATCTAAGCTTTGCTGCCCAGGACTGATGAACACCACACCCCAGATGAGCTAACAAGCACCATGAATTTTCTCAAGTGCTGCTGATCTGCCAGGCACTCCAGAAGACGACTCCAGGCAGAATTGAAGGGGTCCATTTAACTTCAAATTAGTGACATAGGCCTCTTGGACAAGAACCTGCTCTTTCCAAGCTGAAAACTTCTCCATATGAATAAGCTCCAAACAGTCACTAAAAATTAGCCTAATTTTCAATTCTGTTTCCCTTGATTTTGGTCCACTAGAGCAGTGGAACAAAACCCAGTGTTGTTCACTCTCTAGACAAGCACAGTTTTTGAAAAAGTAGGGAAACCACAAAAACAGAAAAAGATAATCAATAAATTCTTAGTTTTAGAGACAAGCAACAAGGGAAAATACGTATTAATGTTTCCTCCCCAAACAGGAGGAGAAATCCACCTTTTCCTATAACTTAATAATGATCATAGAATCATTTAGGTTGAAAGAGACCTTTAAGATCAAGTCCAAATGATAATCCTAATGGCCAGTGCACTAAAGGGTTCTTACTTCAACTTTCTCAATATTTTTTCCTCAAATATGAAGAAGCCGGAAATAAATTTTCCCTTGGCTCAGCCACAGTCTTCATTTGACAATCTAGGAAAGTTACAGAATACACAACTCTTATGTGTCTGACTTATTCAGTAAATGTTCTGACAAAATAAGAAACAACTCTCTCTCCTTGTTCGCAAGTGAAGATATTTATCTTCTTTCTATCTTCTATCTTATTACAAAACCATTTCTTATTTCCATTTAATGAATGAATGAATAAATAAATAAAATATAAGGTCATCAACAGAATGCTCAAGTACTTTAAGCAGTCTCATTCCAGTAATAGTTACAAGCTTCCTATCACATACAGTCTGAGTGATCAGTTCCACAAACAGCAAGAGAATTCAAACAAGTCCAAAGCCTCTGCCTAAATCTCCCAAAACTTGCAAGACAGAGGCATAGCAAAGGAGAAATGGAGAAGTCTGCTTTGCTTATTTTTTTGTTATAGGCACTGGAACACTCCCTATTCTGCACCAGAATGAAAATTTTGTCCAGCCTGGTAGCCTTCCTGAATGTAAGTACATGACAAGTAAACTGCGATAGTTGTCTGCTTCACCCTCTAAGAGATCTGAAGCATATGGACTCCCCATCCATGTTCCAGTCATTACCCATTCGAGTGCACAGTCATTTTTTTCTTGGTCTTACTTAATTGCCTTTTGAAAATCAACTTTCAGCATCTATAAGAACTTCCATAACTATACAGTGACTATCATCATCATGTAAAGAAAAAAATTTTTGCTTTGCATCTACTGTCACAAGTGATCTCTTGTTTTGTAATAAACAGTAAAGTATCCATATCTTACTTTCTTGGAAGGACACATGGTTTTCAAAACCTTTCACCATGTCTCTTCCCTCCATGTACCTCTTCTCATCACAGAAATATCCAAATGCATCTGGTATCTAGAGAATGCTTCTAGAGAAGTAGTCTTTGCTTCTCATTACCCTTGTTACCTTCTTAAACTTCCATAGTTCTGCTCTGTCCTTGGTACCACTGCAGTCTCTAACAACTGCTTTACTTGTTCAACTGTTTCTAAAAGTTAAGCTGAAGTGCTCATGAACCTGAATATAAAGACTATGCCTTTCTCACCAAGCCAAATGCATTTCTTGACATTTAGTTGTGCTTATTTTCTCAGTACCACAAAGCCTTTCATGTCTTTGCCAGTTTCCACCACTAGGAATATAAAGTATTTCTAACATCTTTCTGAAACAGGATAGCACAGACCCAAGTAGTATGCCAAAACACCCTCTTTTTATATTTAAAACAATTACCCACCTGTGACAGAACTTCACATTTACTCCAGATTACAGCTGTATTTGCTTGAAGAGCCTCTGGTGTGGAAGTGTGTCCATAAACATTTCAGCATGTCCAACCAACTTTACACCAGCCAACATTAACTGTGTCCTTACCAACTCCTTCACAGAACTCTACTAACCATGCACTCCATGACTTGCCTTTACAAAAGCTTTATCATCGGTATCTATGTATTTTAAACAGATTATTCTGTTTCCTAACATAGAATTCACACAGATAGCCTGACTTTATATAAGTACACACACATTCATATGCACACCTTTTAAAAATAAAAATTCAAGTATTTTCTATCAATGCACAAACAAGTCTGCTCCTTTTTCTCTAAATTCTGTTTTAAATGTGTTATGATTTGTTTTGGTTTTTTTTAAATTCTGGACTAGCTTGTGCCATTTCTTACTCAAGCTACTGATCCTTGGATAATATACAACAGCAAGAACACCAGTTTTGAACATTGCAAAACTGCAGCAATCTCACACTGGTTTTGGCTTTTCCCCAGCCATCACATTACAGCAGCCCTGGTACAAGCCACCTTTTCCAAGGGGCTCCCTTTAGTCTTGGCATCACCTCCACTTCCTAATAAACCTGATTCCATTTTCCTTTATGACTTGTTTTCTAAACCTACACATTGCTTTTCTCTCCTTTACTTTCTCCCTCTGCTCCCAAGTAAGGTGAAGGAACATTTCAGGGAGTGTTTACAAAATGTGAAGCCCAGTAGCTATTGTCAGCACAGAGTATGTGCTAGTAAAAAGAATAATTCATGTTACAGTCTGTTACTGAAAACAGCAGACTCAAAGGAATTCAAGGTTGAATTCCTACATCTAGAGCAAAACACTTTTCAGAGAAGCTGTTTCTTAATTAAAACAAAACTTACTTACTATAGGCTTCTTCTATTTACTGCTGTTATAAGTCACATTAAGTGTCCATTAAGACACTTCCATACAACCCTCATTTTGGTTCCCTCTCACATTCTTCAGCTGGCATCTCTTCCCCATTTCATTCCTTGAGTAATGCCGGTCACTTCTCATGCTCCCTAATTAGTGAGTGAGAGCAAGAAAATTTTATGCCTGTTTCCAAACTATGCAGCTACTAAGTGGCTGCTGACAGACTGTAAGGTGGAAGGGGTAGGGGAAAGGAGACACAGTTTTGCCTTCTACAAAGCAGTAATTTTCAAGAAATTTTCAAGATCTTAATATTTCAAAATGCATTTGCTTCTGCTGGTTATCAGTCCCCAGAGGAAGGCACAAAGACAGTCAGCAACTGCATGAGCTTGTTTCCTGGGAACCAAGGCACAGATAGGCCCCTTGGCATCAGCCAAAATCTTGTCTTGTAACTCCAGATTTTATTCTGGCTTCCAATCTTAATTCATAAATGGATTTTATGATCTGGTATATACATTTAAAAAATAAACAACAAAAAACAACAACTCACCGTTTTATTACGCAGTCTAATTATGTCTGAAACAGAGCCAGCTCCACAATATTCCATAACAATCCATAGATCTGTGTTCTTGAAGTAGCTGCCATAGTACTTGACAACATAAGGACTAGATGAAAAAAAAAGTTAGATAAATAGATGAATTCTTAGAAGAAAAAAACAGAATCACCAGCACACCTGTTGTTAAAAACTACTGTTTGACACAGCTAAAGAGCAAGTGCAACCAAATACATTTTAAATCTGTAATTAGCTTAACCAATGCCTTTTTAGAGTAAATTATGATTACTTAATAAAACTGTAAAGGCACTACTATGTATGTAAGTTTTCAGCAATCTTCAAATACAGACAGTTTTCCCAAATATTAGTCATCTGACAAAAAGCTTTGTTTTTCCCTCCTCCAAGACCTCTCTTGCATGCTTCTCTTCTTAAAAAGACTGTCCTGTTTTCTTTTCTCCAGAGCAAAATAACATGGAAACTCACGCATGTTTTCCCAGTTTTGCAAGAATGAACTTATTTCAAGCACAGAGCTACACTTTCATATTAAAGAGAATCTAGTGCCAATTTGAAATGATCTGGATTTGCAAATGTTTTTCATACTGAAGCATTTCATGTGGAATTATAGTATTGTCAGAAACAGAACATACTGATTTGCTACTCATCAGTTTATCACTTGGCATAATGCTTCCTTGGAGTCACTTGCAAAAGAAAGGCAGAAACAGACGTGGTAAAAATAAAAAGCATCATCCTTCATAAGTTATTAGATGGTGTATTTATGGAAATAAAAGACTGAAGGTTTTGAGTGGGGTTTTTTGCAGTAACTTAATGAAGAAGGCTACAGTTCATTTGTCATCTATCTCCCAAAAAGTCAGGAAGTGTGAGATACAGAGATTTCAGACTGTGGCTTCTCATCAGAACACCTACATCATGGGATGGAATCAAATACTATTTTGTTTTGTTGCAAGGAACTGTATTTTAGGACCGGCATTTCTGGCAGCAACATTCTTCATACAGACAACAGATATTAGAAGAAGAGAGGACCTATGGTTGCCTCCTGCAACATGACTATCTTTAAAACGCTATCTTTAAAAAAAGACAGCTCAACACTATCAAAAAACTATTTAACTTAAGAGCAACTGTTAGCACTAAATGAATTTGCCTTTTCAGAAGGAAAGGTGGGTCAGCCTCCTACTTACTAGTCCAAATGTCTATCATTTGCAAGCATGACACAATGATCTTGCTCTTTATAAATTCATTAAGTGAGGAAGGCTATATTACTTATAACAAAAACCCAGTGATTTTTGTTACCATCTCTTACCAGATTTATACTATGCCAGTATTCCCAGCAGCAACTGGGTATTACTTCAATCAGGACAAGATGATCTTTTCAAAACAAGTGCAGTGCAATCTCAAAACACTGTTCATATTTGCTTAAAGACTGACACTAATAAATCTGATTTTGAACTTGCAGCACTAAACTCCATAAACAACAGAAAATGCAAAGTAATTTCTGCATCCTTGCATCAAGGCTTCCATTTCTACGAGAACTGCAATCATAAGATTTGTGAACAAGTGTCAGGTAACAATCCACCAGCACTTCCACAAGATTGTTCACTTTTTAAAAGGGATGTTCCTCCAGAAAAAAGGCAGCCAAGATAATACTCTTCTGGAAGTTAATGTATGGTAGCCATACATCTTCTGGTAGAAACATCTTTATCTATCTTCTGAAACGTGTAACTCAGAATTTCACAAAGCCTAAGACATTCAAAGGAAATGGTCACCTTTGACCTTAACAGTGCAAGTAAAGTGAAGCAAGCATGAAGAATTCTAAGCAGAGGCCAGTATTTATTCTTCCAACGTTTTTTATGTACACTATTTGTACTTCCTTCAATCCAAACTACAGAGAGGAGCAGGAGGTCCACAAAGTGGTTCCTTTAATTAAGAAGTCTCTGTTTGACAATTTACTTTCCATGAAAAAGTTTGCAGCTGCTTATATTTCGGCTATTTTCACAAGTACAAATACATTTTTACATAGAATCTTAGAAAGCATATAGAAATGTCTTACCTACCTGTCACATTGTTGCATTATAGAGATTTCTTTAATTATTTCTTGAAGATCTGACTCCACAGGCACCTGTTTAATTGCTACAACTTGTCCAGATTCTTTGTGTATTGCTTTAAACACACTACCGTAAGACCTAAAAATAGGAGATAATTTTCTTAAAAAAACAAGACAAACTGCTCCTGATTTCCATTATGCACAGAAAGTCAAAGAAGCCATATGCTCATGCAGAAGTTTGAGCATTTTTCAGGCTGCAAAATGATCAGTTCTACCAGGACCTCAGGAAAGACAGAAAAATGCTTTGTCAAGACTGAAGAAATCTTGTGTCAAGATTTAGAGTTTCAAATTCCATTAGAGGTGCAAGTATATTTGCTGTGTTAACAAACAACAGACATCTAAAATGCATAAACATATAAGGGAAAGTGTGGAAATCTATGATGCATGCATTTGCTTTAGAAGTAAAACTTGTCTATAGAGGCATTCCGTAGGATATTTACAGTCACTCTCTCTGTAACTTAATATTCCAACATACGCTTCTTTTTCAGTTTGCTAAAAGAAAGACAAACCTTATTTATTTGTTTGGGGGAGAAAGAATTTTCACATGCAAACACATGCCCCCTACTGCTTAGAGGATGCCATATTGTTCTCTATTTATAAACAAGTCCTTCAGCCACATGAAGTAAAATGTACCCCTCCATCAGCCAGGGAATGGCATCATTAAAATCAGAATTCTGAAGACAAGATGATTCTGGGAGCATATGGTAGCGCTTCCAAGGTAGCAGCAGAAGACTTAAATCCCAAAAGCTGACTACTGTAAGAGTTGTTGGAACAGCTTCTCCTGCACCTTTGTAAATGCACATAGGGACAGGATGCAACAAAATTCCTAATTACATAACACCACCACATTTTACCCTTGGCTCTCTCTCTCACACAGTCTCAAATGACTCAGTAACACCCTATGATTTCTTCCAGCACTTTCAACCCCCTTTTACCACCATTTGTATTCTTTCACAAGCAGTCCTAGCTTTTCCCTGGTCTCTAGCACTCCCAGCTATCCAGGACCCCAGACTCCTGGCAAATATCAAAACAGAACTTGGCTGCAAGCTTGCACTAGAGCTAACACCGAACATAAGACAGGAAAATATAACTACACGCACACTGCAGCAGGGATGGGTGACTGCAACACGTAAACCCTTCACCTTAAAGTTATAGGGAATTTTGCTGCAAGACTAAAGTAACAAGCTGACATGACAGCTAAGGGTACTAATAAAGTAGAAGATGAACTGAAGAATAGCTGGTGCTGTAGTGTTAAATATAGACAATGTATTCCATATGCAGGAAGAGGAAAAGGGGATTAAAAAAAAAAGGAAACTTTGAAGAATGGCAGATCAGTGAGAACTTGTGGAAAGTAAGTTATCCCACAACACTTTCTAGAAACAAATACAGAACAGGCGAAGGAAAGAGGGCATGGACTGAAAAGATTGACAAATCTAAGAGTGGAAGAAGAGTAATATGAAAAAAAAACAACTTCATATTAGGACATGCAATTCTGTGATATACAAAATTAATAAAAATTAAAGTGACTGACCAATGAGCAAAATCATGAGTCAAAATAGACTTGTAATTGCCAACCATCTAAGTAAAAGCAAAAAATTTAAAGTAATCACTGAAGCACTCAAGTCATATGGATTGGTGTTAAACAAGGGAAGCAAGGCAAGAAGAAGGCACATGAGTGTACACATTTATACATCAAAGAATTATCACATGACTACAAAAAGCATCCACAATTGGTAAGGAAGGGTGCATTAACTACTATAAAGACCATGCAGTTTGCTACAGGAAACAGTAAAGAAGCTGGAAAGTCTGTGTGTTTAGGGAAAGTAAAAATCTTCGCAGCAAAGAAAAGGCACAACTCATGAATACAGAGAAAAACAGCAAAAAATTCAAGTGAAAACAGCTAAACAATGTCTGCAAAAATGGCCTACAAGAACAAAAACCTCTGTTGTCTTTTTCACTCTCTCTGCTGGTTAGACACTAGAAAGAACTTATACCTTGCAGAAAAGCACTTTTTACATTATTGAATAAGCATGTGTTGAGACAAATCAAAGAGGAAAAAATATTTTGCAGGTAGGTATTAAAGCAATAAATCATTCATTTTGCTTCTTTGTTCCAAAGTTTTTTCCCATCTGAACAGAGTATATGCAACTGTAAAGGCAACATTCAACAATAAGCTGTTGCTATCATCTCCTTCTTGCCACCAAAAAACCCCTTTAGTAACAGCAAGAAAAGAGAAAGCATACAGTACCCCTGACTGGAGATGCCCACAAAGAGAACACTTCCACCTGCTCATTGAAAGAATAATGCCTGCTAAAATGAGAAAGAAGAAAAAACCAAAAAAAAATCCATACCAAAAGGATTCCAACAGCACCATTAATGCCAAGACATTGTGAGTGCCTGAGAAGAGTTAGTGAAATAATCACAAACAGCCATAAACTGATCAAAACCAATGTCATTGTCAAATAACATTATCTAGAGTACTTGAGAAGCAACCAGGAGATCAAAGAAATAAGTATTCTGTAATTTTAAAATTATTTTCATATTATCCAATTCTGACAAACATTTTATGAGACTAAATCACACTTAGCACTAAGGCAGCTTTATAAAAAACCTTTTTCCAGTAAGGAAGGTATGTCAGCCTCAGGAATGCCATCACCAAACACCCTGCTCAAAGCACCTCCCACTTCTTCACGCACACTGAAACAGTACAGATGCTGGGTCCGGTGTTCAAGTGATAGTATCAACACCACAGTTCTTTGAACCACAGAAAAATCCTAATGACTCAGACATTCTAATGATTTCTGTTTCTAGATGTTTAAATAGAATATTCAGCTCTTGAACTACAAAACATCACGCGATATACCCTGAAGGGCTCCAGTAAAGAAAGCATTTATGAAACCATGAGAAACAAGGAAGAAGGTAGCAACTGGTGTAACTGGCTAGAAAGCACCAAGCAGAACATAAGAAGAGACTAGAAATATTATCTTGTTAGTTAAAAGCAAGCAACAATCTTGGGACAGAGAAACACATCGAAAATTTCAGCATCAGCTCTTAATGGTGGGGGGAAGGGGGCAAGGTGAAGAGGGGGCATGAGACAAAAATGAAGAGACAAAGGGCACAAGGACAATAGGAGAGAAAGACAGAATGTGTCTCATTCCTCTCTCTCTCAGTCATCCTCTGCTTTCATAACACAAGCATTTAAAACACAACAAATCAGTATATCAAGGCACTGCTTTAGTCTGGCCAAAGGATACAAGTGCCATATGTGTATGTGCAATATATATATATATATATATGAAAGTCAAAGAAGAGGCAGAGAAGTTAATTTTAAAACCTGTTTTTTTTTCTCTTGAATCTCAACTATCAGGTAGTGATTATGAGCTATTTTAAAGGTCTTCCAGAAGGGAAGCTGTTCCTCAAACCAGAAGGACTAACTAAACTATACCTCTGGGAAAGACATGTCAAAAGGATTTTCTTGTTCTAAGAAGGTTTGACTTTCCACATAACATCTAGTCTCCTAACAAGAAAAATACATCCTAGCAAATAATTATACTTTTATAAATCCACCATGAAAGAGCAAGAGATTTCTTCCTCAAAAATTATAAAAAAAAAGTATGAGTAAAGTATCTTATAGTCATTATACACAGATTTTACAAAAAAAAATTGGTGATGTGCTAAAGCGATAGGAATAAAAAAAATTATTTCTGAAAGTTCAAAAATAAAAATAAAGCTGGAATAAAGAATACAAAGCCATCAATTACCGTCATACAAAAAACTGGCCAGCCACTCCAAGAAACATGAATATGTGTGGTTTATTGTGCAGAAGAACTAACACATTGAAACATTTAAAAAGAATGGCTGGGATCAATTATATTGATATATTAAAAGAGAAGGTAGTAGGAGAAATCACTGCAGTGATCTGAAGTAGAGGTGGCATGTGGAAGCCTTGAGACATTTAATCTGCTTCACAGCATTTGCACAAGTAGAAGCAAGATTAAGACAGTTTACACCACTGTACTGTGTACTTACGTTTAGCATTCTACCAACAAAGCCCAAACATTTCTGTCCTATCATATTCAGGAGGAACTTCACAACTGCCAACATGTCCATTGACACAAACATTAAAAAACACACTTTTTTACACACAGTTCATATACTATGAACAAGTTCTTCCTCTTCCCAGAAAACCTGAAAAGTTGTGTTTTTCAATGAACATTAAACTCAAGTTTAATGAAAGGAGTGGAATACCTTCATTAACACTTCTCATGCTTGTTAGGCAGCCATTCATTTGGCAGCAGCATGCAGGAGATGGACAAGATTAAGAACTATGCGCTTGAGAAAATTCTGTCAATAACTATTTTGTTTTTTCCTTGTATGCAATCTGTATCCTCACATGTGAGCTGGCCAAGGATACAGAAAAACACAACAATAACAACAAAGGAATATTACAACACTAAGAGGCAAATTTTGTAACTATCTCAAGAGCGAATCTCCTTTCCAGTGAGGGAAAAAACTATAAAGCACATCTAAAGTACAGTTAGAGATTCAGATGCAAGAAAACTGTGTCAACTACTGAGCAAATTGTTCAGTGTAAAATCTGAACATCTACTCTAAATTATTTTTAAAGTAGAAAATATTCTGAAAAGGACTCTTCCTTAAAAGTCTTGTGTTACTGTTGCAGTACATTAGTCAAAGAAAAAAAGTGAATTATTTTTATAGCACCTCCATTGAAAAGCCACAGTGGCCTAGAATGGCACTTGGGCATCATCATTGCTATTTTCTGAAGGGCTGTATTAAAGATTAATATAACAGCATTGTGTGCTCCTCTAAAGAGAAGTGCCCTATACCTCGAAGGGAACACTCAGATTCTAGGACATCCATGCAGCTTTTTAGTGTACATATGAAATTCTTGCTACCTCTAAATGGCTGTCTTGTACTACAGATATGATGCCAATAGATCCCTCTCAGTAACTGCTACTGTGGACAACGGGCACCAAAGTAAAGAATTCAAGTGTTCACATTTGTTTTGCCAAGTGAACATTGGTCCATTTCAAACCACTACTGCATCCAAGGA